ATTGATCTCTACGATCTGAGCCGAGCTGAGCTGAAAAAAAGTGGCTCAGCTCGAGCTAGTGGTAATCCAAGCCAAGCCGGCTTATGCAGAGCTTTAGTAAATATATAATATATTGAAAAATTTACTAATTCATTTAAAATCTGCAGTTTAAAAGTATAAATTAATAAATAAAAAATAATAAAAAAGTGAAAATGACTTATCGGAATATTTTATACTGTGATCAAAATTAAAAATTATTATAATTTTTGTTAATATTCTATTGATATTAAAAGATGTATAAATATAAGATATTGTGAACTATATTGTGTAAAAAAGTCATGAATTTTCTTTAATTAAACAATAATTTTTTATTTTCAGTTACAAAGCTAAAGATAAATATTTCATAAATCACACTTTCTTAAATATTATGATTGTTTAAAAATTTTCTGGTTATAATTTATATTATCTATTTTTTAACCAAATAATTTATTTATGTCTTTATTATTTTAAATATAATAAATACTTTCTAACTTAATAAATTATAAATGAGTGATACATTCTATTAGTCATATATGACTCAAAAGAAATTCTAAATAAAATTTAGAAAATTCAAAAATTCTTTATGATTTCTCTTTTCTTTTTTTATAATAAAAGTGATCTTTTTGTGATAAATTATATTTAAAAGAATATATATTAGATAATAAATAATTTAATGTATTTATATAGTAGCATTTATAATATTTATACGTATTTATATATAATAATAATAAATTAAATATAATAAATCATATATAAATATCATGTGATCTTAAAAATTATATATAATTTAAAATTTTTTAATATCTATCAGTTATTTTACACTTCTTAAAATATTAGGCAATATATGATATTTGCTTTAATTAATTTTAAAATAAATTAAAATAGCTTTAATGTTTTAATTTAGATAAATAGTTATACATCAAATAGTAAATAAAAATATTACTAATAAATTTTAATCAATATAATAAAACGATATTTATTTTTTTATAAATAAAGATAATGTAATATATATTCTTTGTAAAAATTAATACTAAAATATATTATTTAATTTTTAAAAGTAAAAATTTTAGAAAAAATTTATTCTAATAAAATTATAAATATTATTTACAAAATATTTAACAATTAGATTAAATGTTTAATAGTATTTTTAATATAATTTTATAAATTTTTATTATATTAAATAGTTTAATATAAACTTATAAAAAGAAAAAATAATTAAAATAATATATATAATATACATTAGATTAAGATTAGGAATTATACTAGTATTATACTAATACTATACTAATTCAATACTAATATTGAACGGTACCTTCAAAATTTAGACATCAGTATATAATAAATATGATTCTTGATTTTTATTAGCTGTACTAAGTACTAGTATCTGTACTAAATTTTTTTATACAATTTATATACAAATTACATGAATCTACAAATTGAATAATTTTTTTATTAATCTTTTATTATTATTAAAAAGGATAATGCAAATTATCTTTAAAAATAATATCTAATCTCCATTTTGTATCTTTATTTTGTGCCAGGTGTTCAATACTTTCAACATCTATATCAAGATTATCATTATCATTATTATCATTATTATCTATTTTTAAATATCAGTTTATTTGATTTTAGAATTATTTTTTTATATTAATATTATCATTACTATCGTCATCATTATCATCACTTTTTTCAGTCTTCATATAATTTATTTATTATTATTATTATTATATTAGAATTATTTTTCTTATCCAAATTATCTAAATTAATATGTTGATCTGAATTAATATTAGCTATAACTGATTTGATAATATAGATTTTTGTTTATGTTATTTGTAAGTAATATCAGCCCAAAGTTTTGACATATTTAATACTTGAGAAAACTATATAAAATAATATAATAAATTAAATTATTTAATAAATAAAAAAACAAATAAAAACTAAACTAATATAATAATTACAATACATAATTACCTTCAATCAATTTCTATTTTTTGTATAGAAAAAACTCATATTACTCTATAATCGTTTAACTAATATAACATTGACACAAATTCTAAAAATATATGCTATAATAGTACTAATATCTGAATAAGTATTTTGAATCTAGCACTAATAGTTATGAATATTATTTTCAAATTAAGCTACGGATGCATCATCAAAAGAATATTTAATTCCTTAAGAAAATTCATCAAATTCTTTAAGGATAGAAATAGGATCATTTTCAATCCAAATTTTATAATAATAAACTAGCCATTTATCCATATGTAAATAGCTAATTTATGATCTTAATGATCATGTAAAATAATTTGACTTAAAAGCTGAATAGAAAAACTAAAAGAAAATAAGAAGAGGTTATTTCTATAACTTCCATCTTTTTTGTAATTGAATTAAAATTTTATTAGTCATATTATTGTCCAGATATTTTTGTCAAAACTGATAAATATAAGTAACTTATATAAAACTTTAAATTATTGTACTTTATTAATTTGAAAAATGTTAAAAATTGCATAATAAGAAAGTAAAAGTTGTTCTAATTTTGTTAGTAATCCTAAAAAATACCTATTTATAATATATTATAAATTTCATGTAAAATTATTAACAGATTTGCTAGTCATCTTTTAGTTGTAGAAATTAAAAGTTCAAATTTTGTAGCTAAAGACTAATAATAAAAATAGTAAATTAATTAAATTATTATATTATAATTATAAAATTAAATAATAATTTAATTTACCTGTAAAGCATTTTTGGTAGTATTCAAACTTTTACAATAATTAAAGTAACTATTCTATCTTATATCACCTAGAACTATAGGTTGAATACATTTTTTATATATTTCTATTTAAATGTCTTAAAGTTTTTTAATAAAATATTTATTATTTGAATTTTTGAAATAAACCACCGTTTTAAAGCTTGATGTAATGTATTTTTAAGTTCAGATGAAACTTTAAAAAATTTTCCTACACACAAATTAATTTAATATGCATAGCAAGGTAAAAAAATAATATTCTGATATTAAACTTAAAGTCTTTTCAATTATTAAAATATATAAACAATATAATTAAATTGAAATATTAAAAAATCATTATTAAAATAAACACTAATTTATTTATCTTACTGTATTATAAGTAGGCATACTATCTATCACAATAATTAAAAAAAGTATTTTGAGTTCATTTAATTTAGACATCATTTCCTCTATTTTAATTCTAACTTCAAAGTTAGTTGTTTTCTTACTACTGATATCAGAAATTTTTCATTATGGTTATTCATCAGATAATGTAAGTACTGTCTCTATTAATTTTTATTCACGAATGTTTGTTTAACTATCAAAAGAAAGAGTAATTTCTATTTAATCTAATACTAATTTCTCTAATATTCTAATATCAAATTCTTTAACAGTTTCATTTAAAATTTCATTTAATAGGGTTTTTTGATCTGATAGTTTAATTTGTGGATTAAAAAATTTAAATAATTTAATGACCTTTGGATTATTTATCCAAGATAATAAAAATCATAAGAAATGGTAACTTGTAATAAATACATATGAAATTTTGCTTTATCTGCATTTGAAAGAGATTGTACAATAAATAAATCTATTGATCTATAATTTGACTATTAAGAAGGTAATGAAATTAATGAGGAGTATGAAGAAAATTATTCTCTTTGTTCAATTATTGAATTAATGGCTAAATTAGACTCATTTATTATTAAAAATATATTAAATACTAATTTTAAATAATAATATAATAGTAATATTAAAATATACTAAATATATAATTATATAAGAATTACTTACATGTTCTTTAATTGAAATTGTATTTTTTGTTTATTAATTAAAAATACTTTATTTTTTTTTTCTTAGCTATATAAAGATTGAAAGTTTTGACAGTTTTTAAAATAATTTAAAATTCTGTCAGTTTTATTTACTATTTTTTTTAACTCAGAATGATTTTCATTAAGTTTATTAAAATATGCTTTACAATAGCATATTTTATTAGTAGCATCACTTTTTAAGTTTGTTAAAATAATATATTTTTTAAACTTTATACTATTGTAAAAAGAAACTTTTAAAAAAGTTTTATTTTTGAAGAAATTATAGGAAAAAACTTTGTTTATGTTAATTTTTATTTATATGTTTATTACACAGATTATCAAAATTATATTGAACGTATTAATTTTGTACTAAATTTTGATTCATATAGGTGTACTATCACTTCAAAATGTATGAGTATTATACTATGTACTAAAATTTTTTAGTATACATATACTACTACAATCCTGCATTAGATCATGATTTTCATTTTAATTTATTATACATATAAAATTATTATATATAAAATAGATTAATTACAAATTTAAAAAAGTTATAAATTCATTTAAGAAGAGTATCTAAATAAGGATTTATTATAAATATATGATGGTATTATAATATATATGAATATAATAAAATCATTATTTATTTTATATATTTAAAAATATAATAAGCAATACAATAAATAAATTGTATTATTTAATTATTATTTGTAACTATCAAAAATTTTATAAATAAAATTTAAATAAAGTTTCTTAATTGAAAACTAATAAGCAATATAATAATGAATTATATTATATAATTATTATTTAATATTTTTTGATTTATTTAAAATTATTTAAAATATTTTGTTTTAAATATAAAAAAATTTCTGATCAATCTATTAAAAGTTAGTATTATTTTTTTTTTTTTTTTAATAATGTTTTACTTTTTTGGTTTTTTTTTACTACTAACTTGATAATATTGATCACAATTATAATAATAACAATAATTAAACAATTTAGGTTAGTTTTTAGTTAGATTTCATAAATATTATATCATTTATTTCCTTTAATTAATTAATTTGCCAACTTTTTAATGCTTTTTTTTTTCCTGTAATATAAAACGTAAGCGCCCTTATAAAAAATTTTCGATTTTGTATTTTACCATTAATAACTTTACAGATCACAATATGAACACATTTCCAAACTACTATGCAATTCTCGACGTTCCTGAATCCGCCACAACTGAGTAATTGTTGTCCACTTTCGTCTTTAAAGATCAAAGACGACTTATTCAAACTAACTCAATCTTATATATATAGGGAAATTCGAGAAGCTTATAAGCGTAAAGCTCTTGATACCCATCCGGATAGATTTGCTTCGAATTTACAAGGTTCAACGAAATGTACAGAACTTTCTCAAGAAGAAGCAAAAATACGATTTCAGAGAGTAGCTGATGCATATTATGTGCTGAGTGACGAAGGAAGGAGGAAGCAATATGGTCCGTGTTATTTAAATTGGTTAAAGGCTTAAACGGGCACGAAAGCATATTTGATATAATTAATTAATTTTAGATTACTTTTTCTTATATGTGAGGCTTTAATAGATAAAGAGAGAGCATCTCGAAGAAAACAAGAAGCTTCTACTTTATGGCAGTCATCACAAGCAGATCCAAATCAAATCTTTGGCAACGTGTTTGAAGATTTATTGAGACCAGAAGTAGAAAATCACGGATGGTTCTATACACCAATAGGTGCTGTATCAGGCGCGTGTCTCGGATTTATTTTTGGCAATTTTCCCGGTTTGGTAGTAGGTGCTTATGCTGGAAAAAAATTAGGCGCTATTAGGGATGCAAAAGGTATGTGAAATTATAATCTCCAAAATGTTATGATGTTTTGGATTCTAATTTGATTGCTTTTTATAGGCATTTCTGTTTACGATGCTTATTCAAGACTTAACGGTAGTCATAAGGCAGCAATTCTAGCCGCATTGGCTACCAAATTAGTTTCTTCTGGAAACTTTTAATTATCTGAACTTACCTGTTTGTTGAAATTATTTTGATGAATTACATTGACTTTTTTACTAATATAATTCTATTCATTTTTAATAATATTATCCATAATTATACCTCACGATAGAATTAAATTCACGCAATAAACTTTTCATTAAATAATTAATTATTTTTTTAATAAAGATTCAGGAACTTTTTAGTTTGATTTTTTTTTTTGTTTGTTATTACAAATATGATGATGTGATTAATAAATGTTCTATGTACAAATGCATAACTAGTATGCTTGGATGATTGTTACACACAAATTTGATGGTCGCAGGAAATTAAATTAAGGTAAATTAAACTACTGCCAAATCTTTGTTAAAAATTTTTTTTTGGTTGTCAGATGATGATATTGTCATCAACTTGACATTCCATGCTAATTAGAAAAAAATCTCCATATCTATTCTCTACAAAAACATTTGAAATGGGTACCAAAAAAAAAAAAAAAAAAAAAAAAAAAAAAAAAAAATTTACAATAAAATAAAAAAAAAGAATCTTTACCAACATTTTTGAAAGTTCGTATTAAACAACGTCCCATTCCCAACACAGATATAAAAGAAAAAAATAGATTGTAAAATGATAAAGATAAAATCATGAATTGAAAAGCAAAAAAAAAAAAAATTATATATATAATAATAGAAATCCCTCCCTGACAAAAAACAACACGATATAATCACGTTGACAAGAAGGCACCTACAAAAAAAAAAAGTTTTTCAAGAAAAGTTTATAACAATGTTGGATCCGCCGAGGACGCTTCTTTTAAATTTGTCATTAAAATTTTGGCATTAGTATTGGTTTCAAAATATTTAAACAAATAATTAAATAATTATGTTTGTACCTGTTATACTTTCTTCTGAATAACTTTGCTCCTTCGGAGGTCTTGAACGCTACTTCTGCAGTTTGGGCCGAACGATCAAACGTGATCGACTAAGATAATGGAATTCAAATATAAATTTCTCGTCAATATCTTGAATCGTGATGTTCATGCAAAGAGGCATTAAACAAATCGACTTACCGAAATTCCACCGGGAACTTTGTTGGCCAAGTCCTGAATTTCACGCTTAGTGACACCTTCGGCAACATTACCAATCGTCAATTTGTTCGCTCCAGCAGCAGAGCTAGGTGATGCAGTTGATTTGGACGTTTCTGAAGATGCAACGGATGGTTTTGTAGGCAAACTTCTAACAGTGCTTTTTGGTGTAGGCTTTTGCGCAGGTTTAGGGGGTTGTTTTGTTGAGGTAGAACCGGAAGCAACCTTATTCTTTGTGGCCGCCGAAGCTGCTTTGCTAGTAACTGCCGTAGAAGTTCCTTGCTTAGAATTCGAAGCCTTAGCAGCGGGGCTGGAAGTATCCTTTGTTGTCGCGGTTGTACCAGTTACTTTACTTTTTTCAGCATTTTTTTGTGAAGATGATGTAGATTTTGCATCTGAGGCGGAGGATTTGCCGTTTGTAACCGAAATTTTTTTACTATCAGGTTCTTTTTGGTCAAAACCGTCATTTGGAACCTTACGTTTTGGAGAAGGTTGAATTGGCCTTTGATTATTCTGCTGACTTACTGGTAGTCTTCGTGGTGGGGAGATCGAATTATGATGACTAAAACTTGGACTGCCGCCTCTAACTCCATACGAATTACTACCACGTCCGCCACCCATTGGTGCCATAGAAGGATGATATGGATGCATTTCCATTTGTCCTTGATATGGCATCATGTTCATTGGGGGACCTGATCCCATTGGATATTGATTAATAGGATTTCCGAACGGCAATGCATGTGGTCGTAATCTGGCAAAATTTGGATTAACATGTATATTTGGTCCAATCATTGGTCCTAAGATTACAAAATTAAATTACTTTATGACAAAAAGTTGTTTCTGCTATTGCAATTGCAAATACATAAATAATAATAAATCGTATCCATTTAATATTTTTTAAAAGGTAAAAGGATCTTAATTTTGCTTACCTGGAGGCATATTTAGATTTGGTAACATGGGTGGATTGTTTAAAGGCATTTGTCCCATTGGTATACTATTAAGATTAACATTATTCTATTAATATTGATTTAATTGAGAAATCTGAACATGATAAATTATAAAATTACCCAGGAATTCCTTCCAATCCAGGACCAAATCCTGATCGAAAAGATGACATGTTGTTATTTAAAAACGAATTACTATTATTAATCGGACGCCAGTCATTATTTCTTCGATTACCACGTCCTCTATAATTTTGTAAATTTTGTTGCTGAATATTATTTTGCTGTTGTTGACGTTGAGGCAATGCGCGTTGCGCTTGAGCTTGACGTTGCGCTTGCACTTGTTGTGATTGCAATGATTTTTGTTTTTGTGATTGCTGTTGTCCTTGCCGATTGTTCTCAGGAGATGTAGAAACATTACTTATTTCACCATCTTCTTTCTCGGGAGATTTTACAGTTCCTTTAACAGATTTACTGATAGAAATATCTGATTTCGCGCTATTGATTTTAACAGCATCCGATTGTGATGATGACCTTTTTGGAGTGTTTTCTTTTGGAGCTGTCTTAGAAATATTTGCATCGTTCGTGTCAAATTTTTCTGTAGTCTCAGACTTTTCGGCAGTTCTCTCATTGTCCTCTTTTACTACCTCATTTGGTGGGTCTAATCCCAACTCTTTCCAGAATTCGTCATCCTCAATAGCCACATCATCGCCATTAATTTCCCCATATTCCTTAAGGAAGTCAGGATCATCCATGTCAAAATCTTCAATTTCGCCATATTTAAGTTCCTCTTGATCTTTTTGCTGCGCTAAGGTTGAATTATTGTCTAGCTCGCTTTTTCCAGACGATTTGTTATCAATTAACTCTGAAACTTCTTTGTTTTCCTCTTCTGCGCTTAATTTCTCTGTGTTTTTACGAGTATTTGAAAATGTTTTTTTCAGTCAATCATCATCTACTTATACTTCTACAAGTTGCGACGACTCACCTTCAGCTCGCTGTCCACCTGTCGCAAAGCTCATTTCAGCATCAAGGTCAAATAGGCCATCGCCTTCCAATAAATTGGAGTCAGTAGCTTGAGGATCTTCAGTAAAACTGAAATCGACGTTGTCATCAAAGTCCAAAATCTCGTCTACATCATTCATTTTGATTTGGCTTTTCCTAAAGGTGCAGCTGTAGTTGGACTTTGCAAGTATTTAGTTATAATACTTGAAACTTGCAACCGAATGTAAATTGCTGTTACTGGTCAGAAAACGATAGGAGTGAAGGGGTTGAAATATTCCAAGTACAACGGTCATCAGATTTGTTCTTTGTGATTTACCGCAGTAATCTGTTTGTATATAAACTGATTTATGATTTACATTCGAATTTTTCTGAGGTACTCAACGCTAACTTCACGATTAAAATCGTATGTCTCGGGTTATATATACCGTATATTCAAATGAATCATGTGACAATACGTAAAATTTTTATTTGAATCAATTATATGAATTTTAATACTTTAAAATTTAATAATAAAATTTGCATATAGATATTTGTAAAACCGGCCGTTATTCCGGGTACGTATTTGAGATTAACTATTTGCTCTTGTATCTTCCGAGTGAAAGAAGCGAAAGCAATCAATCTTTGTTGAATAAAAATCTCGGCGCAGCAACAAATCCGGAAAATAAAACGGGTTACGTAAATTCGATTCCCTTTCCCTTTCCCGCTAGGTTAAAATCATGTCAACTTGACGGACCTTTTATACTTTTTCTTAATAACTTTATTCGATAAAAAAGGATGATTGTAATTTGATTTTGTGTTACAGTTATTAATTTTTCAAGTATAATTTATATTGTATAACATAATAACGTATTACATCGCCGTGTGTTCATCTGCTGATTTGTTGAGTCAACACAAAGAAGCAAAAAAAAAAAAAAAAAAAAAAAATTCATATTTTTTATATTTCAAATTTTTTTTTTTTTTTTTTTTTTTTTTTGCATTTTTAGATCTATTACAAAGTATACTCAACAGTATCTACAAATATAAAATATGGGAACAACGGAAAAAGAATTGACTACTCGTGCTAGTTATCAGAACCGAGACGGTTTCATGATTTTGTTTCCCAGAAAATTACAATGGACCGCTAAGGGAGAAAATGATCCGACAATTGATATAGCAATATCAGAAATGAAATGTAGTTTATTAGCTTTGATTTTTCTTCTTTAGAAATGATTAGTTTAAAATTTTACTTATTCATAGCTAATATTTACTCAACATTTAATGCTTTATTCACTAAGCTTTTTTCGTGGGCAAACCAAATGTTGCCGCTGCAAAATTTAGAATATTATGTAATCAAGATATTACTTATACATTCGTCTTAACATCACAATCAGCATGGGATGAGCTTAACATAATAAAGGCTCGAGTTACAAGTGGTATATCGCGAGCACGATCAGCTGCCCCTTCTCCAGCTCCACAACGGTCGGCGACAACTTCGCCAGTACATCATAGGTCTACAGCTCCATCTCCTGCATCTGGTGGTTCTTCACCTGCTGTGTGGAATAATGGTTTGCAACAAAATAAAAATGGTGCTACAACAAATGGTAGAAATGGTACGACGTTACCGATGAGGAAAGTGCCTAGTGTGATGGAAATTAATTTACGTAAGAACTTGCTAATGAGAGATAAAAGACTAGCAGATCAACATAGAATACTTGTCGTTGAACAGAAATGTATCGCAGAAGAGGAATTCTGGGAATTGAGAAAAGTATGGTGTTTCCATACATTTTTCATGTTTTCTTCTGACCATATTTTATGGGCCATTTGTTTGTTTGTTTGTTTTTTTAAAAGCGATAAACTAAAACGGTGGATGATGGCTTAGAATCTATTACGTGATCAAGATACACGAACGAGCCAACAGAAGGGCCGTTCCTCAACGATGCCTAATCTGCGTCCAGTTACCGAAGAAGGTGGAGAAGCCAAGATAAACATTACTCCGCAATTGATCCATGAGATATTTGAAGAATATCCAAGAGTCAAAACTGCATACGATGAAAATGTTCCTGATAAGGCATAGTAAATTCATAAATTGTCAATTTAGTCTTCTATATCAAACGTATAGTTTATTCTAAAAAAAAACCCCCCCGTTATTCTCAGATAACTGAAGAGCTTTTTTGGACACGTTACGTTCAATCTAAATTTAACGATCGAAATAGAGCAAAGGCAACAACAAGCATAGCTAGTGATGATATATTTGATAAATGTTGGGCAGAAACTGAAGAAGGTGAATAGTTTCTGCTATTAATTACTTATAAATATTTTTATCGATAGTTGTTACTTTTAAGTTCTATGAATTAAAATATCTGTATTTATTATTATTATATAAGATTTAAATCAAGAAAGGGAGCACGGACGAAAGAGATTAAAAATAAGTAACCTTAGAGACTTGAATGCAACAAAAGAAGACCATATGGAGGTAACAGTTTTTCTATGAAATATATACAATTAAATATTAATTCAAAATTTAACATTTATGTGCATTACCATTTTGGTCAAGATTGATTTTGCACCAGATATTACAATGAGACCGGGTCAAGGAAAAATTCTTTCTCTATTACGAAGAAATAATCGACATGGTGAACGAATATTAGAATCCGCATGGTTCGTTTTGAATTATTATAATAAATTGATTATTAGCTTATTGATTGCTAGTAAATATGCAAATAGTATAATTATATGCTATTTTTAATTTAGCGAAAATTCACGCAGACATAAAGAAATGACTTCTCAGCAACAAAAGGTTTAAAAGAACTTTATAGTTAATAATTATTTTTCAGATATATAGGTTTGATATACTTAATTTGAATTTCAATAGAAAGAGGTTTATACAGAAGACATTGTAATGGAAGACTTAATAGAAGAGGAATCACTCAGAACATTCAAGTTAGATATTACGGACCAACGTGAATACTTTGCTAGTCAAACCGCTGAAATCGATAATGATGTTGAAATGGTTGGCTCTGAGCAGGTAGTTTAATTTCGGTTATAATTTACAAGGTTTAACTTATTTTCCTTTGAATAACCAATCAATATATATTTATTAGAGTTCGATTAAACACCAAGGCTCTACTGAATTACTAAATAAGTTCCAAGAAAGTTTTGCAAAGTGGTATCCTAATTTGAAAATGGTAAGTACATTGATTTTGAAATGTATGTTTTCTAATTCATTCATTAATCTTCCTTTTCTTCCATAATTCATTTAAGCACTCGTTACTAGAAACCCCTATCCTTAATTCGGTAACGAAAAAGTGTAATGAAATTATCAAAGATAAGCAAATCCGTATGAGTGAGTCAAAACCTAAAATTGGTTAGTGTCTGCTAAATTTTGTATCTTTATTTGTTATATAACATTACAGACGTTGAATTATTTAATTTAATTCTATAGAACATCTTCCTCAGAAAATTGAAAAAGAAGTTAATATAATTCAGTTGATGGGTTATGAATTTTTACGTCATTTTTGGGCATCCGTTGGGTCAACCTCCAAGGAAAAAGTAGAAAAAAACAAGCGGATGACGGAAAAACTAAAGTCCGTTTTAGAAAAGATTGATCAAATTTCCGAGTTGCAACCAGATGATGATTACAAACAAGGATTTAACCTTCAGAATGGAGCACCCGATATCAATGCAATTCAGAAGGGTCAAAGATCAGATAGAGAGGAGCAAAGATCTACCGTTAATGGTAAACGGTTAAAAATCGGCTCAAGGATCAGTTCTGGACAGGTTGGTGGAAATCGTCTAAATTCCAACGGATCTCCAAAGACTGATGTAAATTTTGAATGGTATGATGCAATAATACAGGCCATACAGGTATGAGAAAATTTTCTTCTTTTACCTCGGATAATCTAGTTTAATCATTATTGTTATTTTTCTCTTTTTTAACGATTAAAAAAATATATTACAACTCTTAAAAACAGATGCTCGAACCATTGCGTAAGGCGATTAACAAAGCAATTGCTCATGATCAACAGTCTACAAGTCCAAATATTTCGAGGACAGTCAATCGTCAAGCTAGGCAATCAACTAATCAAAGCTTTCAAAAGTCAATAGTTCGAGAATTGAAGCAAGCTAATCCAGATCACCACAGAGCAATTTCCCGAGAATCAAAAACAACTTCTAGTCCGGATACTCAAAGGCCCATGCCTCGGGATACCAAACAACCTCAACATCATGGCATGCAAAAAAGCGTCAACCGTGAGGCAAAACAAATCACTAGTCCAAAGATTCAGAGGATTAGTAACCACGATATGCAACAAAGCATAAGTCCGGATGTTCAAAGGCAACCTAATCGTCAAATAAAACAAAGTGCAAACATGAGACAAGAAAATAGTCGTGTTGGTCCCAAAGTATCTGTTCGTAGTAATACACAAGTTCAGAATGCTCGACCAGATATTGATCGAGAAGCAGCATCTGCTCGCACAACTATAAAGATCCCCAAAAAAAACGTACAACAAAACGTCAGTCGTGATGATTGGCAATCAAATGGTCGTGAGACACACCAAAATAATAATCGTGTTGTACCAAAAAACTCTATTGTCGCTTCTCGAGGTTCTTCTGGTGGCTCTTCTGGAAGTTCTGCTCAAGTTTCATCAGCGAATAAAATCAAAAATTCGACGAAACGAAAACGATAGAGGGCAAGAATTTATTGTAATATGTTTCTATAATTGTATATTCACGAACTGTTTAAATTTTTTTTTTTTAAAAAAAAAAATAATATATATTATATATATTATATAATTTCTGTATATAACCTTATTTTATTTCCTTATTTAATGAGTTAGATTTTTTATTAAAGTTATATTCTTTAGGGAGAAGAAAATTACTAACGAAAGGAATTAATTTACTATTCATCATATACTGCAGCTTCTTAAAACGAGATGCGAAGCGAAATAAAAGAATAATCCGTCACCTCGTGTTAACTTGCATCAAATAATGTAAAATACATTATCTACGAATTGAAAATATTTTAATTTTGAAACTGAACATTTGGATAGTATTATTAGTGGGTATTATTATTAAATGAACTTTTTTTCTAACCTCATCAAAAATTATCAAATAAAATTAATAAAATTGGTTTTTACCGAATTTTTCAAAATGATTAATTTAA